CTTAGTGTTGTACACTCAGTATGGTACGCTATTTTTTTCGTTTAAAGCTATCTAGCCGTTGGAATATTTTGAGAGTATAAAGAATCTCACATTATACATAGCGAGATATACATAACCCTGTGTTTGCTGTCGCGCAGTCAGATAAAAATAGTAGTAGTACGTTTACACGCAATCCGCGCGACCATGTACATAATTGCAAAAAAATATGATGCAAATAATTTGTACAATGCGCTTTTTGCAATGAAAGTTTGCTAGATCAGGAACGCAAAACAGCATAGCAGTGTGAAGCGGTAGTTAGAAGTAGTTTCGTATTTCATATGTTACCAGACGAATATCAGAAATCCTTTTGTTTTATCTTTTTTTTTTTACTTATTTTATCAATCTTGCTTAAATAAAACGCAGTGAGTTAAACTGAGTAATAAAATGTTGCTAATCATGTCCTGCAGTGGGATAGTGTAACACTGGTGAGAATGTAGGTTGGCTTCGTTTTGACCTATGAAGTTTGTTTTGTTGTATTATGTCAGTGAATCGGTCAGTATCGACTATAAACCGAGGGCATTTTTTAATTAATATCCTATTTTAGATTACAACGTATTATCGTAATGAAAAATACCTAAGTAACGCAGTTGCGGAATAATTGCCACCGGCAACGATTCCACACTGGAGTTAATCAAACTGATGACTGATGTACAGTTACAAATAATTTATATCTATTCTTTACTAAGCAAATGGTTTTGGTTTCTAAATTAATGAAACATGCTAAAATGATATGTTATGTTCGAATCTGACCTGATTTAAATAAAGTAAAATAAATCTAATTTCTCAAAAATTAATTTAAACAATTTGTTTAATTGATGGCTCTTAGGTCTTAGCATTGAAATGCGGCGCTGAGGGTCGCGTGTTGAAATCCCACACGGAACAAATATTTCTAAGTCTTACAAATAATTGTTCTGGGTTAGGTTCCTTGTGCAAAATACATTGGACCCCGCTAATTATAGACCTATTTCTGTACTACCAACTCTCAGTAAAATTTTTGAAAAAATAATTTTGGATCAATTGTTTTTTTTTTTTAATACAAATAAATTACTTCATAAAAATCAATTTGGTTTTACAAGGGGTCGCTCGACGTCTGACGCCGGTGTTGAGCTTATGAAATATATTTTTAATGCCTGGGAGAATTCACAAGATGCCTTAGGTATTTTCTGTTCATCATGATACATTAATCAGGAAACTACAACATTACGGTGTAAAAAAATTTGGCGCTTAAACTTATTATTTCATATTTAAGTAACAGAACTCAAAAAGTCGTCATTAATGGTAAATGTTCCTCCGGATCGGTAGTATCAATGGGCGTTCCTCAGGGCTCGATTCTTGGCCCATTCCTGTTCTTAATCTATATTAATGACTTACCTTATCTTGTAGGGGACAATCACGATATAGTATTATTTGCTGACGATACCTCTTTAATTTTCAAACTGAAACGGCAGTCAATTAAATATGACGATGTAAATAATGCTCTATCGAAACTAGTACATTGGTTTAACGCCAACAATTTGCTCTTAAACGGCAATAAGACAAAATGTATTAAATTTACAATACCTAATGTAAAACATTCGAAAACCAATGTGCTCTTAAATGGGGAGGAGTTGAGTCTTGTGGATACCACTGTTTTTCTCGGTATTACTATTGACGCGAAACTTCAATGGGGCCCCCATATATCTAAATTAGCAAGCAGACTTAGTTCTGCAGCATATGCTGTAAGAAAGATTAGAAGTCTCACAGATGTTGAGACAGCTAGATTAGTGTATTTTAGTTACTTTCATAGCGTAATGTCTTATGGAATTTTGCTATGGGGTAATGCGACTGATATTGAAGCTATATTTGTTTTGCAAAAGAGAGCCGTACGGGCGATTTATAATCTAAATTGTAAAGAGTCCCTTAGAGAAAAATTTAAAGAAATAAACATATTAACTTTGGCATCGCAATATATTTATGAAAATGTAATGTATGTACATAAAAACATAAATAGCTTTAATAAGAATAAGGATGTTCATACCTTAAACACTAGGAACAAACATAAGCTTGTAATGCCACTTACAAGACTCCACAGAATTAGTAATTCATTTATGGGGCAATGTATACGCTTTTACAACAGAATCCCAGAACATGTTCAAAGTTTGTCAATAAACAAGTTTAAAAGTTTTATTAAAGAAAAACTGTACAAAAAGGGTTATTATAATATCAAGGAATACATGAATGAAAATAACCCCTGGGAATAAGGTGATCGCCACCATGCTGGTTCTATGAAAATTCATTTAAAATTGTATAATCAAAATTATTGTTAAGTGAAATTATGTTTAAAAAAAAGTCCCGCTGGGTTTCTTGCTGGTTCTTCCCAGGACAGAGGTATTTTCCGAACCAGTGGTAAATAAAATAATGACTTTCAATAAGTATTATGTAATAATCCATATTGAATAAAAATCATTCTATTCTATTCTATTCTATTCAATTGTGATGTAGTTGATTGCAGATGCGTTGTCAGCCGTGAGGACTAAAATGGAATGCCTCTTCTTATCCAGTAAAATGGTCTCCGGTTTTCTACACTCACCATACGAAACACAGCAGCAATAAGCTGCTATTTTACGCTGGTATGCTGTGAGAGCGTGGTCCTTCCCAGGTCAAGTCGACCCATTCGTGCTACAACTATGTATAGCATAGCTATATATAGTAAATAGATATGTATATTATTAATATAGCTACTTAGAAATAAAAAAAAAATGGTTTGATCCCTGGGGCACCAAAGTTAGTAGCAATTTTAATCGCTAATTCGAGGAAAGTTGTTTTCAGAAAACTTGCATGCATAAATATATCAAACAATAAAATATATGGAGGACATGTGAAGTCCACCACAACCCTTATGGAAACGAGAGTACCTACCATAAACGAACTCTTAATTATACGATATTTAACCCTTCTACTGTAAAACCAGAGGAAGAAATAAATCATTGCAGCCAATATAGTGAACATCTTGAAACTTTAGTAAAAGAATACGAGGTCTTAAACATACTAGGTGATTCTCAATATGAACACTTATTATGAAGCTTTAGGATTAGAGATTGGACATTAGCAGTCTCTTATATATCTTAACTCGCCGTGTAGAAATTATTTGATACTTCGCCATTTCATAAAGGCTATTAAACTTATATCCCCGAAACTCTTCACCGCTGCATTGGAAGACGTTTTCAAGCTACTGGACTGGAAAGGATGCGGTATTAACATCAATGGCGAGTACATCACTCACCTTCGATTTGCCGACGATATAGTCCTTATGGCAGGATCGCTGGAGGACCTAAGCAATATGCTCAAGGACCTCAGTAGTGTCTCCCAACGTATAGGTCTTAAGATGAATATTGACATAGACAAAACAATAGTCATGTGTAACATCCATGTCACACCTATGCCGGTAGTTGTTGGAAGCGCTAAGCTCGATGTTGTTGACGAGTATGTTTACCTGGGACAAATAGTCCGACTAGGTAATTCCAACTTCGACCGAGAGGTCAATCGACGGATTCAACTCGATTTGCAGCGTTCAAATCAAATTACGGCACATCTTCTCGTAAGGTATACCTCAAAACTTGAAAAAGAGACTGTACAACACGAGAGAAAGAGAGTGTGCTCCATAGCCAAGTCTTTGCATTTGAGCAACAAAATTAAGACGTGTTGCCAGTGAGTGACCTATGGAACTGAGGCGTGGTCCTTCACTGCTGACCGGATGAGGAAGCTCAAGGTCGCTCAGCGGGCTATGGAGAGGGCTATGCTCGGAGTTTCTCTGCGTGATAAACTTAGAAATGGGGATATCCGCAGTAGAACCAGAGTGACCGACATAGCCCAATGGATTAGTAAGCTGAAGTGGCAATGGGCCGGCCATATAATTCGATGAACCGACAACCAAAGGGGAAGAAAGATTCTCGAGTGGTAGCCTCGTACCGGCAGGCGAAGTGTAGGGCGTCCCCCTACTAAATGGAGTGACGACCTGGTAAGACATGCAGGAAGTCAATGGATGCAGGTGGCTCAGGACCGTGCTTTGTGGCATTCCTTGGGGGAGGCCTATGTTCAGCAGTGAACTTGTGATGAGCTGTAATGATGATGACGATGATGATTAAACTTTTCGTTTTCTTTACCAATTTACAATTACCAAAATACAATTAGATGATCTTGATGCACATTGCAAAGATTATTTGGATGGTATTGTTAAAGTTACTAATAATGCGTACATACTCCTGTAGTATTGGAACGAAGTTCCTTATCGGACGGTACGGGTTTGGCGGATGGGAGCTAGGCGACAAAAAGTGTAAGAATTTTTCGTCACTACCCCTTGCGTCATAGTGCATATTATTTTGAATGACGTTTCATTTTAATAGACGCTAGTAATACATTAATTTGTATTTGTTAATCAATAATATAATACGTTTATCAATTATAAGGAACTTCGTTCCAATCGAATGTTCCACGACACTCACGCATGATTTTTTCTTTGTGTTACTTGAAGAAACTTTATTACTATGTAGTGGCGATTTTTTCCCACGTTTCGTCTTTTCGGTAATTACAAATGGTAAAAAGAGGAGGAAGTAAGTCTTGCCTATGCACGAATATACTCCGTAAACAGCAGTGCTATTAAAACATATAGCAACAATAACTCAAACAGCTCACACTCACTGTTTACTTCTGATCACTAAGATGGGATGCCTAAAAATCTGATATTACGCCATAACTTTAAACCAGATTATGAATGCATAAAGGCAACAATAAGTAAGAGTAGGGTGGTAGCTACTCAGACGAACTCCTATACAATTTAGAAGTCATGAGGAGAAAGGGAATATAACCAATAAAGCGTTTTTTTATGCTTCATATTCCTGGCCCTTTTTAAATCAATACTTGACTGTGTATTTTAACAGTCTGTCAAGTTAGTCTGTAAAAAAATTGTTATACTTATGTTGCAGGTATGAGAATGAGAAAAGTGCGCTTGTGGTGTCGGTCGTGTCTTGCCAAGGGCTGCCAGGCCGCGAGCCAGCCGGACCGGACCCGTATGTCAAGCTTCAACTTCTTCCCGATAAACAGCACAAAGTTAAAACCAGGTTTGTGTTTTTGTTACGTTGATCTGTGTTAAATTTTTTAAGGGTACCTGCACTGGTCACTGCTATAACCAGGTCGTCTGTACTTATATTTTAGAAGTTATGGAGTAAGGAATCGTAGGCCATGTTGCATTAACGTAGATTGGCCGACTTTCAAATTGCAATATAATGTCTATGCTAAATTCTCATACATGAAAGACTTGAAGTTATCCCATACCGCTAAACCACTTAAATTATAACATAGACTTAAGGTCTTACTTCACTAATATTGCTTAAGATTTTCTAAAGATCAATAAATGTGGCCGCAAATTAGGACCAAGAAGTTCGGGTTAAAAACATTTATTTCCCTCGAAGAACTCACAGTTTCTGAAATGAAAACATTTAAAATAACGATATACAGTAATAAAAAATATAGCAATAACTAATAAGCTTGATTTTTCAGGGTTGTCCGCAAAACCCGCTGCCCAGTCTATGACGAAGATTTCACTTTCTACGGTATCGCCCCACACCAGCTCTCCGCTATTACTTTGCACTTCGTTGTCCTCAGCTTCGATAGGTAAGTGCGTTTGGGTCTTTAGTAAACTTTAACTTTTTTCTTACGTATTTATTTATTTATATAAAATAATAAACAATATTTATCTCAATAAAAAATAAACTAAAAACTAAAACTTTCATGCAGTACTCAACGCTGGCTACGATTCTTTGCCGAATATTGCCTTTGAGCTCTACTTGTCTGAGCAATGGACTGTTTTTGATCATGATGATAATAACACGACACATATTTTGGTGGTTGTTTAGGTCTTTAAAAAAACTACTTAAAAAGTCACGTGTTTGTTAAGACACAGTTTAAGATAGGCTCCCGTTGTGCAGATTTCCAAAAAATTAAATGCTCGTTAAAAGAGCTATTATTTTAAGATTTCTCCCTAATTTGTAGTTGCATTCTTAAAAAGATTTGCTAAAAGTGATTAGTGATTCACATAATTATTTTAAAAGATGAATAGAATAGAATAATAAAATTCCTGCAAAAATCACAATAAGTAAATTCGAAAAAAATCCATTCGATTTTTACATGCAAGGAAGTGCAGTAAAAAAGTAAAGTGAAACTCTCTCATGAGATCAAAAACCTTATGGAGACCAAATTATAAAAACTCCTTGTCATTAACAGCGAAATATGTTTATGTAATGAATATGATATTTATAGATATTAATAGATTTAAAATAAATTTTCTGATCATATACTAATGGAAAACCCAATATGAATATTTTCAGATACTCCCGGGACGAGATAATAGGCGAAGTAGTGTCTCCTCTGTCTACCCTGCAGCTGCAAAGCGGCGAGGCTATGGCACTATGCCGTGAGATACAGCCGCGCAGCCTGAAGGTATAGATTTCTTGTATTTGAAAATTTCATCGTAAATGTTAAATTTTTCAACCGACCTCAAAAAGGAGGAGGTTTACAATTCGTCGGAATATTTTTTATGTATGTTCACCGATTACTCAAAGACGCCTGAACCGATTTGGAAAATTATTTTTTTTGTTTCAAAGGATATACTTCCCAGGTCCCATTTAAATTTTATCGAAATCTGTCGAGCGGTTTTAAGAAATCAACAATAAATTATATTTATATTGAAGTCGGTTGTATAAATTTTTTAATTTTACCACTAGTTTGATAGAAAATATTCCTATTCCAAATCCTGAACACGTGGTCTCCAATTAAGGATAAAATTGTTATTCGTGTCATAGGTGTACTCTGCCGTAGGATGCCGAGATGAAATATTATCATCTTCCTTCTGCTTTCTCTTTGTAATTTTTTTTAAAGAATTAGGGTGACAAGCGAGCACACAGTCCTCCTGATAGTAATGTGGTTGTTGTGGCCCATAGACATCTACATCTATCTTCGTTTGAAAATTAAAATGCAGACGCGTTGTCACCCGTGAGGACTAAGATAGAATGCCTCTTTTCCAGTAAAATTCCAGGTCTCCGGTTCTTTACACTCACCGTACGAAACAGCAGTGTTAAGCTGCTATTTTACGCTGGTATTCTGTGAGAGCGTGGTCCTTCCCCGGGCGAGCCGACCCATTCGTGCTACAACTATACAACTAATATAGCTGCAGCATGGCTCTACCCCGTAAAAAATGACATCCCGTGAAAGTAAGCAGCTGGACATGGGCTTCTACTGTTGTAGGAAGGATTTACCTTAATCGTCACGCTTTCTGTTGCTGCAATCATCAAGCCTGAGATTGACGAGCGCAGTATCAGACGTCCTGCACCATCAACGCTGCAATCCTTCGCCGGTTTTTAGTTGCTTTCCGTCTGGTGGAAACGAGATGGGTAGCAGAGCGTTACTAGTAGCAGTATTATATCTTTTTAACCTTTTACTAGAAATGTTATAGCAATTTACTAGCTGCGACTTCGTCCGCCTGTAATTTAGGTTTATTTTTTGCGCGAGACCCTAATTTTTTCTAAAATAAACGTAGTCTATGTTACTCCTTTTAACATCAGCTATCTGACAGTGAAAGTCCCGTTCAAATCGGTCCAGCCATTTCGGACATTAGTCGGAACAAATAGACAGACAGACAAAAATTTTAGCGATTGTATTTTTGTTATAAGTACCGTATACACTATCATATGTATTTTGTAAAAAGCTGTTATTTTGACATTACAAACAGACACTTCAATTTTATTTATTTGTATAGATATAGATGCATGGATATAGATAAGTATATATGAAATATAGTGTTATTGGATGAATTTTGGGTCCAATAACACTATATTTTGTATCTATTAAGCGCTTAGAACTGGAGTAACAATCTCAGTAGAGTAGTCCCGGTGATCGAATTTAAGTTCTTTCCGTATTGCGAATAAAGATGGACGCCCCGTCATGCTTGACAGGCGAATTAACGATCGCAGTAAAATAAATATTGGCAATGTCGCGCCATTGCATTGATAGCAGTAATGTCCTCCAGAACGAATTTCGGTTACGGCGACCACTCTCAACAGATACACTGTGCGCTCTTTATTCCCTCACTGTCGTAGTCCGATGGGACGGCAATACGATTCGACCGGAAAAAGATCTAGTGTAGTGTATTTCTTATTTTGTTTTCGGCCCAACATGGGATTCGAACCGGACAGGACTACATGATCACCAGTCGCGTTATCGACCACTAGACCACCGAGGCAATCAAACGGCATTATAACAATGAGAGGCGTATTTTTTATTACAATAAACTGTTCTACAATCAATTCAAAAAATGCCTTAATCTAAAATTGTCTACAATAACAGGCACCTGAACTAGGATAAACCTGTATCTCAGATGTATGTGCTAATAGATACACTAACAAATATTTTCAGTTACATATATAAAATGAATAACGTATTCACTAATTAGGTTATTTTTGGTAATTTCGGTAAATATATTATCATAAATTAACTTAAAACAATCAGCAACTTTTCCGTATCAACGTATGACAATATTCGTAACTTTGTATGATGTGGGAATGTGGTAGAGTGTAAGTGTGGTGTGCTGGCAGATGCGCAGCGCTGGGCGCGGCGAGGTGCTGGTGTCGCTGTGCTGGCAGCCGGCCGCCGCGCGCCTCACTGTCGTGCTGCTCAAGGCGCGCAACTTGCCCAAGATGGACGTCACCGGACTCGCCGACCCGTCAGTACACGCTCATTGTTTTAAACATTAGCAACCCGGCTCAACATGCCCGGGTAAAATTGGACTTAGTCGCGATCGCCTGTAATTATTTTTGCTACTCGCGTTTCACAAATTTTTTCTTTCCCGTAAATTCTAAATCATATTAATAAGTTTATTTTTCGCATTTTATTATTGCATAAATATCTCCTACAAAACCTTCAGTGTTGGAGCCAGCCATGCACACCTTATAAGTATTATGTTGCTATTTGAGTAAAACTATTGTGAAATTCATAAAATAAATATTAGACCCAAAGTAACAAAGCTTTAAACCGAGTAAATTATTAAGCTCTTCGGCTTTACAAGTATAATTATATAGAGGCATTTTAAGAACATATTGCTTGACCTTGACGTGTCGAGAGTAAAGCACTACCAAATAACTCTTGGCGTTATGAGGTGTGCACATTTTTTTAAAAACCAAATGGTCCGTGTGAGTCAGTGAAGAATCTTTTTGCGACGTTGTACAATATTATATTATATTATTTTAATATATTTAAAAATCACTGGGCATCATTTGGAAAATAACGACGTGTCTTCTCAACAACATTCTTCAAATTATTGAAACAAATAATAATTAAAGGCCAATAAGTGTTGCTAAAGTACCATATGGAATTAGAATCGGTATTTTTGGATTCATATTCCAACATGTTAAATAGTTATTTAATTTTGAATTATAACCATTGCTATTTTTAGCAATTTCCTAATCGAAGTTACAATATTTCCGCTATACATTTCAGCTACGTGAAGATGTACCTGCTGTACAATGGGCAGCGCATCGCAAAGAAGAAGACGCACGTGAAGAAGCGCACGCTGAACCCGGTGTTCAACGAGTCGTTCGTGTTCGAGGTGCCGGCCGCGCCTAGCGCCTCGCTCGACCACGTGTCGCTCGAGCTGCTCGTGCTCGACTGGGACCGCGTCACTAAGAATGAGGTCAGTGTGTTTCATAAATTTTTGTTAATTATAAAATAAACTTTTGCAAATTTACTGGTAATGATATTTGCTGATTTTACACAATATTTTAATATAAGCGCATACAGGCTACTGCGTAGCACATAGAGCCTGGAGAGATGCTCCTTCGCATTCCCGATGTAATGCACCGGTTACAGTCTACCAAAAGTCCACTGCTGAACATAGACCTCCCCATAGATAGCCTCATAGGGTGGATATTTGCCATAGTTGCAACGTTTAGCAGGCAGATGGACAACCGCAATTTTTTATGTTTTTATTGTTATTAGGAAAACGCTGCGAAGCTGTCTCCTAGTTTGTTCCTTTCTGTCACCTTTTACAGCACCCACGGGACGATACGGTGTAGTATATATTATTACACCGACACTACATGATGGCTCTGGCTTTTACCCGTGTCATATATATATATATTAACAATACATATATATAAAGTACCTATATTTATATATTGTTGTATAACTGTGGTGTTACTGCGTGCAGGTGATCGGCCGGCTGGAGCTGGGCGCCAACGGCACGGGCAGCGCGCGGCACCACTGGCGCGAGGTGCAGGCCGCGCCGCGCCGCCAGATCGCCGACTGGCACAAACTCAAGGAGTGAACGCGCCCCGCCGCGCTGCACCCCTCCCCCACCACCACCTCCCCACCCCGCCCTGCCCCGCGAGCCAACACTGCGCTGCACTCTGCAGTGACCAACCACTCACCTCCACCCACACCCACAGTGACTCACCGCCTCTGAACACTACCCCTTACATTTCCCGAACACCACTCTCTTGATATAACCGTACCTGCAATAACCCACCACCACACCTCGCCCTGCCCTGTCGCGACTCAATGCTTTGATCCACAGCAGTGACCAACTCCACTTCGAAACCATACCACAGTATTATAATGTGTTCTTGATATGCAAGATAATAAGATTATTTGTCACAGTTTAAAGACCTAATTAAACTGTGCTTTTGATTTTGACAGCATGCGTATGCGAAATATTTTGACCACGCATTTGATACATCAGCTGTAGATAAAGCTGTGACCACTCTCCTATATCTCTCCAACTCTACAATTCCTGAACTACTTACGATGCTTGCGCACTAAACATCGCCTCCAATTACCCGCTTTTAACTCCCAATTAGTAATATAAAAGTAAAATATTGCCTACATAGTCTAAATAAAAAGTCATCAATCACCAATACCTCAGGGGGGTCCATATTAGTATCATTTCAATACATCATACTCTGTAACTGATTAACGGACCTGCTTCGGTCTGTGATCTAACTTTGTTCCACTCAATAAACGAGATTCGCAGGATCTTTACAAGCGACGAAAGAGGGCGAGGCGCGGCAGCGGGGCCTCGCATCCCGGGCGTATTTATAATTTTATTGAGTGTTTTTCACGAGACAAAAGATGCTACTGACGGCAGTTGTTTTCACTCGAACGTATACAGAATATTTTGACGCAACCCCCTTCAGATGCCTCAACGTGACATGTAAACATGTTACATCGACTTGTAGGATTACAAAAACACCGTCCACATTTGCTTTAAATGTCACACGTTTTTGTGAGGCCATAAATCTACGATACCGCACTGTGTGATATTGCTTTTTTATGTTCTGCGGTCGTGTCATTAGTCCATGTGACAACAGTCCATATATCTGTCTTTATCGACAATATCTGACATAACATGGTTATGGAGTCACGGTGCATCGACAGTTATAAATGTGGACCCACCCTGGGACATACGCTAGAGTATTTTACATTGTTCTTAATTTTTATATTATGTAACAGCATCTTTCACATGTGTTTTACAAATGGTCCATTATCAATATAAGCTTTCAATGTGATTTTTTTTTATTTCCAAACGATTTATAAATAACGCAATATTTGTAACTAAGTTGGTAACAGAATTTGTATAATAGTTGCAAAAATTATGTTAAAGCAGATGTTTTACATCGTCACCAGTACTTGAGCCAATGCAATATTTACAACAGAAAATCTTTAATAGGTTGAAAGAACAATCTTACATTTATATATTCCAAATTATGTGTTGAATGTGGTCAAATTTAATATAATTGTCTAAACGTAAAACTATATAAACGAATGTAAAATATGGTTTTAAAATGCGTAGGGTAATACTTCTAAAACCTAACACCCTAGTATATTCTTTATTATAACTACTCAGACCAATAAAGAATTTGGAAATTGGTCTGACTATTATAGGGTTATTTTCAAGAGTTTAAGTTCAGTATATAAATAATGATATACTGTTAATGCAGTTTTCGAAAATACGAGTAAATAAGGCTTCCAATTTTTTTTTTGAAATTATTCTAAATTGAACGTGATTTATGGGCAACAACGGTTTTGTCTAACGATCGACCCTTACAAATGTGTGCGTGCGCAGTAAAATCAGATAAAATAATGCATTACCACAGATTTTGAATTTAAAGATAACAACTAGAAATTGTTTGATATTTTTTTAAATTAATTTTTCTTCACCATTTGTCTATATTACTTATTCTGAACATTTTCTGCAAATTTAGTCGGTTATTGCAAAATAACCCTGTATAATGGTAAAATATTTAACTTATTTCAAACATATTTTTTAAACATTGATTAATTTATAGTTATACGTGTATAATATAGATTTATAACAATTTAATTATTCTTTTTTTCTTTTTGTCTCTGAAGATACATAATACATATTTATTTACTGGTGGGTATTTTACACTTAGAACATTTATGTATTCACATTACGCTATGGGTGAAAATATAAGCGCAAAAATTACAAATTAATTGGCGTTAAACGTTAATGTAAAAAGCAAAGCTGACTAATAGTTTTGTTAAAAACCAATATACATCCATATTTTATAATAATTATAGAATAAAAATGATACACTTGGGGGACAGAATAATATGGTTTGGCCAAAGTCCAATAACAGGGAAGGAATATGTTATAATGTTGTTATGTAATAAGAAAGTAAATTATTTTACATTATAGGTAGATAATTTTGTTTTAAAGAGAAGTGGTTAAGGTTATCCCTTAATGTTTTAAAGTAAAAACCAATTATTATCATCGTGTATTATATGTATGTATATAGTCTATGGTTTTATTTGGTTAACATTAAATATAAATTGGTGAATTTATATCATCAAAAAACGCACATTAATTTGGTATTACATAATATGCAAATGTAAAACTAAATATTTAATTTTTTAATTTATGATTCTAAAATATAATTACGTCCAAATAATACAATATAATATCAAAGTTGCAACAACGAAATTTATTCGTTTTACCTATATTTGTAGATAGTTCCTTTGATTATTTTGTTCTTATTTACTTGGGTACTTATTTATTTTGAATGCACGTGATAAAAGAAATCCAGGATAAAAGAAATTTTGTGTTATTGAGCATACTTTATGAAAACATAATAATACGAATAAGTTTATAACATACTATATTTTGTATTATATTACTAATAAACAACATCAGACTAAGGAAGTACCTCCAATATTTTTTGTAACTTTTAATAAGTCGTAGAATGAAATAATTTATGCAGTTGATTATAAGTATTTATTTTTAGTATACCTAATAATAATATATCCCATCTTTTATAAAAATATGTTGGAAAAATATTAAGCAACAAAATAAGCATAAACCAAAGCAGCTAAATATTGGATGATATATTATGAAATGATCCTTATGCTTACCTACCCAACTCATTGTAAAATTTAACAATGTTAACACATATTCATTTGCGATCACATGCGATCACAGACAAGTTTTTGATGCAAAAAGCCGTTGCTTAAACCATTTTGACAGATACCTAAAAATACAAAATTTATATTCATCGGTAAAACCTGTACCTACTATACCTGTAGTAACTAGGGTAGAAAAAAATCTATTTTATACTAATTGTAGTACATAATATATGATGTGGATTAGATTTAATAATAAATTAATAATTTTACGAGAAAGCTCATTCGACGAGGCTTCGAGCTTTTAGTGACGTGTACCTTTCTAGTGTTTCATGTGTCTCGATAGATGACGCTTATTTATGATCCAACATAAAGATGAAGATTCGTTCTCAAAATTCCATTCTGTAAAATAATTTATCTCATAACTTTTGTAGATCATGTGATCATATTTTAAATAAGTCAAATAAGTTTTGCCATTCGAGATATCGAATGCTTTATAGTAGAGACAATAAAATGCACTCGAACTTATTGTGCCATCGTCGAAAAAAAAACATGGACATTTAATATATCAGATTTAAACTTCACATTTAAATGTTTGTTAGACTAATCACTTTTAAAAATAATAAGTGTCACCAATTTACCTATATATCTCTTATATATATAAAATCGTCGTAATGTTACCTGACTACTTTCCATACTTCGACATTCCTGATCGTAATTTGTAAATATATCATACCTAATCATGGAGCAAGTAACGAATGCTCTATCATTTGAGTCGTGTATCATTTAAATGTTTAATCATATGATTAAGTACCACTACGTATAAAATTTAAATAATAATTTAATGTTTTTGTGTTTTGAAGTGTAGATGTATATAATATGTGTCGTAGATGCAACTGGAAAAATCACAACTGCAACTACACTACACGAGATGCTTCGAGATCAACACATTTTTTTACTATCATATGTTCTTTTAGTTTTCTATGATTTATAATTCACTTAAATGTTGTACTGTATTAGTTTATAACATTTATTTAAACTGGTTCCCTTAATTAGGTTATTTTTCCTTTTTGTACATTGAAGCTTGCCATACAAGACATAAACGAAGAAAATGTAATTTAATTGATTTCGTACATGTACAAGTTCATTGTTATATTTAAAGTTATTACGTATAACAAAAATGGTAAAAGTTCTCTCCGATAAATATTTTATTAGAAATATATATTTTATTTTATTGTTCCCATAAATTTACTATTTTAAACAATACTTTTCGATGAAAATAATGCGTTTTACTTTTTAATCAATCCCGCAGAAATTGTGTGTCCATTTTAGGTCCATTTGTGATTTTTGTTTACCACTATTTTTGCACTATGGCTAAGGGATTAATTTGATTGTACATTTTTTTTTTATTGAAACCAGTATGTATACTAAGGAATTTTAGTAAATAAATTATTGAATGGTGCTTTCACAACAAATGGTTTGTTTCATTCATCATTACAGTTTATCAAAGTACACTGCTGAACATAGGCCTCGCCGTTTGGGTCGCCTCACAGGAATAACATAATATAGACCTATAGGTCAGGCAGGCAGGTTGGCAACCGCATTATTTTTTTTAAATATTTGTTGCTTGTAGGAAGACGCTGCTGCCCATCCACTGGTTTGTTTCCCTCCGACACCTCTAAAGATACCCGTAGTAATATATAATACTGTTTTGGTTATGAACAAAATGAACCAATAGAAATTTTAATAATTATTGAAACAGTCGCGCAATATCCACTTAGTTTCGCATTTATTATACGAAATGATATTTATTTAAATCCATTTTTCCCCTAAATTTTGAAATTTAAATCTACCCCAATCTTTACTAAAATTTCAAATTACTGATCGTCAACATGGTTTCTTTAGAAATAGGTCCCCACAACTACTGATTTAATTGCCTTCACCAATTATATTATCCAGCATGTCGCAAGGCATTTCATAAAGTTGACCATGATATGCTTTTGACGAAATTAAGTAGTTGTGGTATTGGTGGCCCTGTTTTGGATTGGTTTAGACCTTATTTAACTCTTTGTGAGTGTTATGTATTTGTCAATAGGAACCAGTCTAAATCGGTTAAGGTAACCTCGAGTGTTCCTCAAGGGTCACATTTAGGGCCCCTTTTGTTTCTAATTTTGATCAACTCAGTGACAGAATGTTTCTTGAACACAGAGGTTTACTTGTTAGCTGATGATTTGAAATTGTTAGATCATCAACAGACTTCCAGCTTATTCAAGCCGATCTGGATAGATTGATCGAGTGGTGTACTCAGAACAATATGCTTCTGAATGCTAAAAAGTGTAATAATATGTCGTTCACCCGTAAATATAGTCCTATCCAAACTTCATACAAAATTGACAACACAGTACTCAATCAAGTAGAGTGTATACGAGACCTAGGTGTTCTGTTGGATAGCAAACTGTCTTTCGTACCACATATAAACAGTATTTTAACGAAGGCGTCCAATATGTGCGGATTTTTAGCTAGAAACAACAAACAGTTCAGACATACTTAAACTTTACTACTACTCTTTCACAGCTTAGTTCGGAGAAACCTTGAATATTGTTCTCAAGTTTGGTCTCCTTTCTATGAGGTTCATAAGTGTAGAATTAAACGAGTACAGCGGAGGTTTCTTAGTATGAACTTCATATGATGAACGGCTACAGCATTTCCGTATATCTTCCTTATATATCAGGCGCAAATTTTTGAATTTAAGCTTCCTCTACAAAGTGTGCAATAATGGCATCGATTGTCCTCAATTACTGGAAATGGTTAACATTAATGCTCCAAGCAGATTACCCCGTTATAATGTCTACAAGCTGTTTATGGTCCCACCGCACAGGACTAACCTAAACTAAACTATGCTGAATGTTTAGACTGTATAATGATAACTACGCCATCCGATTTGGATATTTTCAATGACAATTTAAATAATTTCAGAAGAAAAATATTACTTTATTTAAAATCTAAATTTTAGATGATAAATGAAAACCTTTTTAATTTCTCATAAATACGCAATTTTGCTACTGTTACTATTAAATTTTACGTTATTTAACTTTTCGCAATATTACTCTGTGTTAGCTGTGGTTGCCTAAAACTGGGTGAGCACATTGCATGTTTTTCACAATGCTTGTACGAGTATCTTGTTTTAGTTTTTGTGTATCATCTGTCGGTGACCCTTATGAATAAATAAAAAATACAAGTTAAAGTTTTTCTAATACTTCAGAGATTCTTTTAATACCTAATTTCTTATTTCTGATACTTTTCTTTTTTATTCTTCATTCGCTCGTTACAGTTTACTATTAGACATGGGTTCCTTCCAATGTTGGTACTTTATAGGTGTAACATATTCTTTCCTATTGCAGTTTTATGAAGTAGAGAGTCAGTAAAAGTACAGGCTGTGAGGAACTTCATATTAGTTCTGAGGCTTATCAACGCATCTGTGGCTCTTTTATGTTAGTTGCAAGTCAATAGCAGCCACTTACTATCAGGTAGACTGCTAGCTTATGATAAAAAAAAAGGATTTGCTTCAATCGACCAATGCTGTACGTGGTATATTGCAGCTATTATGTTATAGCAAGAATGGGTCGGCTTGTTCGGTCAAGGACCACGTTCTCACAGAATAGCAGTGTAAAATAATGCAGGAAACCGGAGACCCTTTAAACTGGAAACGAGGCATTCCATCTTAGTTCTACGGATCTCATCGTTTATCAATCGTCGCGTCAGTCGCATCCACTTATCATCGGGTGGTCTGTGCACTTGTTTGTTACCCCTATTCTATAAAATAAAATAATGCTTGACAAACAAACTGAAAATTGACGAACATAGTACCAGATCTCTTGTAACGTAGAAGCTGATCACAGTTGTAAGTTCTGGTCCATGATATACCACCTCTATGAGTTCTTGACGAAATTAAGTAATGTATTCTTCTATGCCACTACCACACAGGACATATAAAGAGTTATATAAAGTTACAGCCTATAATATGACCCACGACTGTGCACAGACTAGAACAAGAAAGTGGCCGCCGCGCTGCCCCAATGCCCCATTTTGGCGGACTTCACGTCTTCGATTTTTTTTTATTTCTGACATACAAGTTTCCTCAAGGTGCTCTTCATCGCCGAACACGTGGTAAATTAGCACTTAAATATTCAATAATTCAATCTTCAATATAACTTTTAATGTAAGTTGAATAAACGTACGTTATTATGCAGCTTGTTTTTATTACGTGTATAAAATTAAATATGCATAACATAATAAATTTTGAGGCAATATTAGTAACTTTACACAAAACTCTATACAAAACTTAAAACTTTTGAACGTGGTAGAGTCACGCTGCAGCTATATTATTGTTGTAGCGCGAATGGGTCGGGTCGACCGGGGTAGGACCACGCTCTCACAGCATACCAGCATAAAATAGCAGCTTAATGCTGCTGTGTTGTTTACTGGAAATGAGGCATTTTATCTTTAGTCCTCAGAGGTGACAACGCATCTGCATTTTGATTCTTAATCGAGGATAAATGTAGATGTCGATGGGCCACAGCATTCACTAACCATCAGGTGGACTCTGTGCTGGTTTGTCACCCATATTCCATATAAAAAAAAAACCATTTGTTACTAAAAATAACAAGAAAGTATCTGATTAAAATATTAGTAAAGTCACACGTGTTAAGTCCTAGTCGCTATTAAGACACCAATAAAAGAGCAGAACTTTATCAATTGTATATTTGATATCAAATCTTAACACATATAACACAGCTTAACAAATTTTAAAATGTACAATTGTAAGACCTGTTTTCATCTCCACTAGACAGATCTGGCATGATTTGATTAAGGAAATTTGGTATTGCCTCATGGAAATGAAATTGGGCCTTTGACATTAAGTGCAGAAACCGCTCCTGATGCGGTGATCGTTGCTTAAATTATTAAATCTTATTATCATACAGTTAAATGCCGCATCGACGCTTCGACTCATTTTTTATGTCAAACACCAATGAGAATTGGCAGGCAAGAGAATTATATTTATCTACATGAGAATTGATGTTAATTACCAAAACAGTGCGATAATTTTACAACGTTAACTTCAATAAATGGGTAAATGAAGAAGTTTAAACTTAATACGTTTCTTAATTTGCATTTCTCCATTATAATAAAAATTAAAAAAAAGAAGGTTTGAAAATGGAAGAAATATGAAGCTTTTAAAATATCTCATTTTATAATAAATAGAAATAAATAAACATTAGTAAAAAACATGTTTTTGTTATTAGTATGAAAATATTAATAAGACAAATACTATTTATAATTTTCAAACAGTCATTTTTTCGTACTTATTTTAATAACGATATGTCCATTCTGAGTTTTTACTAATTTTTTAACTGATTTTTTATCTTTGATCCGTCAATAATAAATATGCAAAGCTCAGGGTAATTACATGCATAGAGATGTTATGCCAATTTTCTCGACATTTTTGCTTTATCTATGCATGTAATTACCGTGAGCATTACATTTTATGAAAGTAATAATCAAAAAGAAGATCAGAAATTAGGAATTGATTATGTATTATTAAAAAAAAAACTACATAAGTTAATTAAAATACAAGATATTTCTAAATAAAAGGAAAAATACACATAGTTAACATAAAAATACATAAGTAAAAAAATTGTTGCTATAAAATGAAGAAAATATAAATTATGGCCTGTATGTTAGGTAAAAAATATTCGAGGAACAAAATAATTCCATAGAATACCATAGGTTGAATTATCAAGCGAAAAAGGGATATTCTATTCTAAGTTACTGGACTATATGAGCGTTAAAACACATTTAATAAAATTAATTATAGCATTATAGCAAGCTTTCTAACATTACATCGAAATGCATACACACGCGTGATTAAAGATGAAACTGTATAACCATAGATTACTATTGTACACTAGAGATACATATAAATTTATCTAGCTATATAGTTAAAATTATGTAAAGAATTAAGTTCATGTTTACTCGATTTTCACTATGGGATATAATATTTATTATATCCCGAGATATAAATTATATCGAGCGATTGGTTTTCACACTGTGTGCGTTCGACATTGGATTACATTTACACCGCACTCGTTGTTTACAAAGAAAATTGTCTTTCAAACAAAATGGAATTTCCATTTTGTTTTGCTAGATAACCTCGACAGCTCAGAGGGAGATGATGCAGAATTCAATTTGAGTGTTACGTTTAAGTAAAAACAGGGAGCGTCGATACTGGATATCAAATCATATAAAGTTTAGAGAGGAATATGGTGAATAGACCTTTTAATGAATTCTATTAAGAAAAGTTACGAATACAAATGAGTATACGCACTACGCAATAGTACATTCAGGTAATGACCACAGAACACTATTACTCCTACGGACACTAATACCCTTAGGCGGGAAGAATGTCAAC